TAGCTTACTTCTAGCATTCTTTTGGTCTTGGAATTTAGAACAATACTCAGTATTATACTGAGCTTGAGGCAGCATACTTCTTTGGTATTTTAGTCATATATAGAGATTATACTGAAGCTCTACTGATAATCTTATATATGGCAGGACCCACACTGACTGAATTACATGCCTAACTCTATAGGGATATCACTGTGGTTTATTTTGCATTGAAAAGCAGTAAAGTACCTTCTGGTATATCGATGTATTTTCTGTTTCTAATAAAACATTCTGGCTAGTGGCAATCCCTTAGTTTTCCTTCCTATTGTATTTCTGAAGCCACAACAGCTGTTTTCTCTGCTGGATAGGTTGGATGTTGGAGTATGACCAGATACAGGTTTTAAACATTTGGCAAGTGTGCAATGTTAGGAGCAGGAAGAAGAGGACACAATGTCTCTAGATGTTTTTCTTGTTCTGAGAAGTTACTTAATTTTTATAAACTTTGATTTTCAGGTTTTTTTTGTTATTGTTTTATGACTACAATTTAACTGGAAGATGATAGCCAAACTTCTCAGTTGAATGAATGAATGAGAACTACTAGATCAATGATGACTGGGTTTCCTAAACCAGTGAGAAACTTGAAGGAATGGTACAGAAACTAAAGATTTTAAAGAGATTGTTCATTGATAGTGAGATTTTTCTTGCCTAGCTTGAGTTTGGCTTTATAGAGATTTCCATGTAGGAATGGTCCACCCTGTTTTGTGCTGTGTAATCTGGTCTCAGGAGAGGCAATACAAGTCAAAAATCCTTTTCTTAGAATGCCTGGATAGCAACAATAGTAATTGTCTATGTTTATATGGAGCTCCTAAATTTTTCAAATGCTTTCCACCTTCTTATTTGCAAATTGGTTTTATTTGATAATGAAAAAACACATGGAAAATGTGGGTACAGAGAGGTAAAGACTTGCTTTAGATCACACAGCACATCAATGAAGAAGGACTCAAACCTAATTATTTTAACTGCAGGTGCAATTCTCCTTGCGTTATATAACCCAATCCAGTAAAGTCTGATAGCCAGGTCATGCTCTGTTAGTTATGTTATATTCAGAATATGCCTGATAAACACATATATTAGCAGTAAACTGTTAAAACTTGAACTATTCTTTCAATTAGTCTTTTGCTTGGCTGATGAAAAATTCACAATGTAGTCAACTTGTCTTCCATGTGTAGTGTAATGATGGCAAATCACATTTCACACTGCTAGACTTTATTTATTTACTTATTTATTACTTTCTATTTTTTTGAGAGAGTTTTGCTTTTGTTGCCCTCACTGGAGTGCAGTGGTGTGATTTCAGCTCACCACAACCTCCATCTCCCAGATTCAAGCTATTCTTCTGCCTCAGTTTCCTTAGTATCTGGGATTACTGGCATGCACCAACATGCCTGGCTAATTTTATATTTTTAGTAGAGACAGTGTTTCTCCATGTTGGTCAGGCTGGCCTAGAAGTCTCAACCTCAAGTGATCCACGTGCCTCGACTTCCCAAAGTGCTGGGATTACAGGCATGAGCCACCGTGCCCAGCCTACTGCTAGACTTTTTATATTGTTCTTAAGCTTCATCTGCTGTAGATTTCTTTTTGAGATATGGGACTGTGAAAAATACACTGACAGAACAAAACGTGTTTGATTTTTTTTTGTTTCTAACCAAATGATATTTAGCAATAATTTTAAGATAAGAAACAGCATGCTAGCAACAAGTTATGGAAGCTGCAAAAGAGATAATTATAAGAGTTAGCTTCTTAGGGTTGGTTGTTTTTGTATACTTAAGCTTCTAGATGACCCTTACATAAAGTATATCCCAACTTGATCTAACTTGACTGTGAATTTTAATACCATATACAAAGAAAAGTTTAAACTAAAAATGAATGATTGTAACTTACAAATAGTATAATGGGGAAACATACAGAGCCAACATACTGAAGTGTTTTCTACTATTTATACTAAACAGTCATAGAAATTATATAGATGTAGGATATAATAACTGTAAATTATATACCTTCTGTAGTAGTCTTATTATGTAACTTTTATCCTCGACTATGAATAAATCCTTTTCCAGAAGTAGGATGAGAGTAGGAAAAATAACCAAAAAGTTCAAACAGCCCTGAATTACACAGTATAGGTTGTAGCTGATCGTCCACTTTATTTTGAGGAAATTCTTCCATTGTACTAATAAAGGATATTTGCATTTACTTTCTTTTAGCCATGGTTCATCATTCTTGATAATGTAGCTCCTATTTTAAGAAAATAAATAGCAAATTATTTTTTACTCAATTAATTTTTTTCTATAAATAATTAAATAGGAAACCAATGGGGAGGTTGGTGACAACTGGGATATGGGGAACAGCTATTACCTTCTGTAAAATAGACCCAAGAGTACATTTTCTTAACCATTGAATATTGTTTGACCTACGCAATTGTGAAAGGACATTTGCATACATATAAGAGATGAATGAAAATGTTTTCTTATCTTTTAAATCCCTTTCAAATGTAGAAAAATTTGTATTTTCTTCATTGTAGGGGATTTGTAAATAGCTATTCTAAAATAACTCTTGAGATAAGTAAAAAGTAGAACAGATTTCAAGCCTCCTTTATAGAAAGATGGAAGGAGAACTATTAACCAATTTGAACACAAGTTTTTCTTTCTTTCTTTTTTTTTCCTAGTCATGAACCTACACTGTTCATAAATATATGTGTCATGCAAAATCAGAAGACTTATGTGTATACTTTTAGCTAAGTATTTCTGACTTGGAATGAACTGTAGAGTTAGCAAGTATCTAGTAAATTTGGGGTTTGCAGGCAATGAAAATCTGAGGCCCAAAACACAAACAAAAACATTCAGCCATTTAAACAAGCAAAAAAGCACACACTTATTTTAGCTTTAATTAAATTAAAATTCTAGAGTTCTTTTACCTGATTCATTTAGTTCTCTTTTCAGAATCAAAATAAGCATTGTCCTAGTCTCATTAAAGTCTGTGCTTAAGGAAGATGAAAGTAGTAAGATTTTAAGAAACATTTTGCATATCCAAAAAGGAAAGTTTAAGGACAAAGTAAAAAACATTCTTGGCTCATAATAATTTCCTAACAGTGCCATGGGTAATTTTTCATTCAGCTAATATGATCATCAAAGAATCCTGGATTTTAATGATTTAGGTATCTCAGAGATCAAACGATTGACAGAAATGTCTCCTTTCATAGTGTGTCAGGCTTCAAAATCCAAGTGGATCCTGCACATTTTTGTAGTCTAAAAATGTATGAACATTACATGGAAAATACTTTCATTGTCCATTGCCTGTATGTTAGTTACAGGCCAAGGCATTACCTATGCCATTTGCTAAACTGCCTGGAACTGTTTAGGGTATATAAAAAATGCCAAATAATTTGAAGACCATAGACATCAGTATTAATAAAGACTGATAATTTATAATTTCCTATCACTACTATTTAATCTAATTTTTCAGGAAACTTAGGGACAAGTGACGGAGGAAGGAAAGAGTTCAGAGTGAATGATAATGTCTCTGTGAATGAACTGTAGTGAGATTATAGTAAAAGAAAGGCCTAGCCTACCCTTGGATAGAGAGGAGTAGTGTTATCGCTAAAGATCATTATCATTCTGGGCCTAAAGCATTTCTAGAGATCTTTTTAGTATTTGATTCTGGGTTTATGGAAAAGGAATAAGAGAGATTTTAGTTTTGGCCCAGGTTTTTGAGCTGTGTGATCATGGATAAACATATTGCTAACACTCTCTGGATTTGATTTTTCTCACTTATAAAATTTAGATTGGGATCTCTATGGCCCTTTCCAGTTTTAAAATTCTAGAATTATAGAAGAGAATAAGGAGGGGGAAAGTACTTGAGATCATAATCTAAGTTTTAGCAACATCCCCCCCAACCCATCCACCTGCTCCTAAAATGACCTTTTGGAAAGATTGTTCTTTAGGCTTTCAAGGTCCTATCTACACATTTGTGTGGGAGAAGGAGGGTACATGTATTAAGCACTTACATTAGATGTCACTTTCTCCAAGAAGTTTTCCCTTATCACCTATCTCCTGCATACCTTTTAAAACAGTTATTTATGGGAAGGCCAGCAGTACTTATGTAACGTCAGAATTTGGTTCTTTGCTGGTAATTATGGAGGAAAATTTGGCCAAATTGAATGATATTGAACAACGTACACATTTTATTTAGTCATGGCTGATATGCCTATTTTCCTTAGAAAAACAAAGTAGGTTTGGATGCTTGTTTTAAATTATTAAAGTTTGATTACTATTAATCTTTGCTCTTTCTTTTCCTAACTTTTATTTTAGTTTCTTTTCTCAACCTTTATTTTAGTTTCAGGGTTATATGTGCAGGATGAGCAGGTTTGCTACATGGGTAAACATGTGCCATGGTGCTTTGCTGTATAGATCATACCGTCACCTAGGTATTAAGCTCAACATCCATTAGCTATTCTTCCTGATGTTCTTCCACTTCCCACCCCCAGCCTGTCAGAGGACAGGCCCAGTGTGTGTTGTTCCCTCTCATATGTCCATGTGTTTTCATCATTCAGCTCCCACTTATAAGTGAGAACATGTATTTGGTTTTCTGTTCCTGTGTTAGTTTGCTGAGGATAATGGCTTTCAACTCTATCCATGTCCCAGCAAAGAACATTATCTCATTCTTTTTTATGACTGCATAGTATTCCATGGTATATATGTACCACATTTTCTTTATCTGGTCTATCATTGATGGATATTTACATTGGTCTCATGTCTTGTCTTTTTTTTAATTTTTAAAATAATTTCAACTTTTATATTAGATTCAGGGGGTACATGTGCAGATTTATTAGCTGGGTATATTGAATAATGCTGAGATTTGGGGTACAAATGATCCCATCACCCAGGTGCTGAGCACAGTACCCAACAGTTAGCTTTTATTTATTTATTATTATTTTATATATATATATATATATTATTGCACTTTAGGTTCTGAGGTACATGTGCAGAACATGCAGGATCGTTGTATAGGTGCATACATGGCAATGTGGTTTGCTGCCTTCATCCCCCCATCACCCATATCTGGCATTTCTCCCCATGTTATCCCTCCCCAACCTTCCTACCCACCTTCTGCTGTCCCTCTCCTATTTCCCCTCAACAGACCCCAGTGTGTGATGCTCCCCTTCCGGTGTCCATGTGTTCTCATTGTTCAACACCCACCTATGAGTGAGAAGATGCCGTGTTTGATTTTCTGTTCTTGTGTCAGTTTGCTGAGAATGATGGTTTCCAGGTTAATCATGTCCCTACCAAGGACACGAACTCATCATTTTTTATGGCTGCATAGTATTCCATAGTGTATATTACCACATTTTCCTTGTCCAGTCTGTCACTGATGGGCATTTGGATTGGTTCCAGGCTTTTGCTACTGTAAACAGTGCCGCAATGAACATTCATGTGCATGTGTCTTTATAATAGAACGATTTATAATCCTTTGGATATATACCCAGTAATGGGAATCCTGGGTCAATTGGTATTTCTATTTCTAGGCCATTGAGGAATCACCACACTGTCTTTCACAATGATTGAACTAATTTACACTCCCACCAACAGTGTAAAAGTGTTCCTATTTCTCCACATCCTCTCCAGCATCTATTGTCTCAAGATTTTTTAATGATTGCCATTCTATGTCTTTTCTATAGTAAATAATACTGCAGTGAACATACATGTGCATGTATCTTTACCCAGATTGCTGGGTTATATGGTATTTCTGCCTGTAGGTCTTTGAGGAATCGCCACACTGTCTTACATGATGATTGAACTACTTTACACTCTCACTAACAGTGTGAAAGTGTTTTTTCCCTGCAACCTCTCTAACATCTGTTGTTTTTGATTTTTAGTAATAGCCATTCTGACTGGTGTGAGATGGTATCTCATGGTGGTTTTGATTTGCATTTCTCTAATGATCAGTGACAAAGCTTTTTAAAATATGTTTGTTGATCACATAAATGTCTTCTTTTGAGAGGTATCTATTCATGTTCTTTGCCCATTTTTTAATGGAGTTATTTGTTTTTTTCTTGTAAATTTGTTTAAATTCCCTGTAGATGCTAGATGTTAGACTTTTGTCAGATGGACAGATTTCAAATATTTTCTCCCATTCTCTAGGTTGTCTGTTCACTCTTATAGTAGTTTCTTGCTGTGAAGAAGCTCTTTAGTTTAATTAGATCCTATTTGTCAATTTTTTCTTTTGTTGCAATTGTTTTAGCAACCTCATCATGAAATCTTTGCCTGTGCCTATGTCCTTCCTGAATAGTATTACCTAGATTTTCTTCTAGGGTTTTTATAGTTTTGTGTTTCACATTTAAGTCTTAATATATCTTGAGTTGATTTTTGTATATGGTGTAAGGAAGGGGTACAGTTTCAATTTTCTATATATGGCTAGCCAGTTTTCCCCCTACATCATTTATTAAGTGGGAATCAATTCCTTGAGGCTTGTTTTAGTCAGGTTTGTTCAAAGATCAGATGGTTGCAGATGTGTGGTCTTATTTCTGAGTTCTCTACTCTGTTCCAATGTTCTATGTGTCTATTTTTTTTGCCAGTACCATGTTGTTTTGATTACTGTATCCTTGTCGTATAGTTTGAAGTCAGGTAGTGTGATGCCTCCAGTCTTGTTCTTTTTGCTTAGGATTGTCTTTTTTGGTTCCATATGAATTTTAAAATAGTTTTTTTTTCTAATTCTGTGAAGAATGTAAATTGTAGCTTAATGAGAATAGCATTGAATCTATGAATTGCTTTGGATAGTATGGCCATTTATATGATGTTGATTCTTCATATCAATGAGCATGGAAGGTTTTTCTATTTGTTTGTGTTATGTCTTATTTCTTTGATCAGTAGTTTGTAGTTCTCCTTGAAGAGATCTTTCACTTCCTTTGTTAGCTGCATTCCTAGATAGTTTATTCTTTTTGTGGTAATTGTAAATGGAAATTCATTCATAATTTGGCTTTTGGCTTGCCTGTTGTTGGTGTACAGGAATGTTTGTGGTTTTTGCACATTGATTTTGTATCCTGAGACTTCACTGAAGTTGCTTATCAGCTTCAGAAGCTTTCTCAGCCAATGCAAAAGAACTGAAATAACACATGGTCTCTCAGACCACAGCACAATTAAGTAAGAACTCTAGAACAAGAAATTCATTCAAAACCACACAACTATTAATACATGGAAATTGAACAGCCTGCCCTTGAATGACTGTTGAGTAAATAATGAAGAACAATGAAAAAATAATGAGAACAAAGATACAATGTACCACAGTCTTTTGGACACAGCTAAATTAGTGTTAAGAGGAAAATTTATAGCACTAAATGTCCACATCAAAAAGGTAGAACGATCTCAAGTTCACATCCTAATATCACAACTAAAAGAACTAGAGAACTAAGAGTGAACAAACTTCAAACATAGCAGAAGAAAAGAAATAGCCAAGATCAGAGATGAACTGAAGGAGATAGAGACACAAAGAAACCTTCAAAAAAATCAATGAATCCAGGAGTTGTTTTTTTGAAAAAAAAAATTAATAAAATAGATAGACCACCAGCTAAACTAATAAAGAAGAAAAGAGAGAAGAATCAAATAAACACAATCAGACATGACAAGGAGATTATCACTACTGATCCCACAGGAAAAAAAAAAATCAATGAATACCATATACACACCTCTATGCACATTAACTAGAACATCTAGAAGAAATAAATACTTTTCTGGACATATACACCCTCCCAAAACTGAACCAATAAGAGACTGAATCCCAGAATAGATCAATAATGAGTTCTGAAATTGAGGCAGTAAAAAATATCCTACCAACCAATCAAAGAACCCAGGACCAGGCAGATTCACAGTTGAATTCTACCAGAGGTACAAAAAGGAGCTGGTACCATTCCTTCTGAAACTATTCCAAAAAATTGAAAAGGAAGGACTCCTCCCTAACTCATTCTATGAGGCCAGCATCATTCTGATACCAAAACCTAGCAGCGACACAATGAAAAAAGAGAACTTCAGGCCAATATCTTTGATGAACATCAATGTGAAAATTCTCAATAAAATACTGGCAAACCAAATTCAGCAGCACATCAAAAAGCTTGTATACCATGATCAAGTAGGCTGCATCCTGGGGATGCAAGTTTGATTCAACTTATGCAAATCAATAAATGTGATTCATCATATAAACAGAACTAAAGACAAAAACCACATGATTATCTCTACAGATGCAGAAAAGGCTTTTGATAAAACTCAACAACTCATGTTAAAAACTCTCAATAAACTAGTTATTGAAGGAACATATGTGAAAATAATAAAACCCATATATGACAAACCCATAGACAACATACTGAATGGGCAAAAGCTGGAAAAATTCCCCTTGGAATCTGGTATAAGACAAGAATACCTTCTCTGGCTCCTTCCATTCAACGCAGTATTGGAAATTCTGGCCAGGGCAATCAAGCAAGGAAAGAAATAAAGGGTATTCACACAGGAAGAGAGAAAGTCAAACTATCTTTTTTTGCAGATGACATAATTCTTTATCTATATCTTTGCTTTTTTAAAACAATCAATTGAGCCACCCTAAGGATTGCCAGAGCCAATGGGAAAAGCAGAATCCCCTTGTCCCTCTTCTCAGTCTAGACTCCAAGATGGGTTCAACAACTCTTTTCTCCGTGACTAGTTGTTTTCACTTCCTGTTTTGTTATGTTCACAGCCTATCAGTATTCCTGGAGAAAGTCACTATTCCTCTCTCTCACTTCACCACAAATCCTTGCTTTAATGTTAGCCAGACTTCATTACTGCTTTGGAGCAGCATTCCCCACAACAGTTTTGTGGTTTTCCCAAGATTTCTATTCTATTCTCATCTTCCTTCATTCTCTTCATCTTCCTCTTCAATTTGTGTATAGATTTGGAATTATTATACAATGGAAATTTGAACTTTGCTGTTGTTAACCTCAGTATTTCTTTCATTCTTCCATTTTTGTCCTCTTGATTTTCAAGGCTTGTCTTCCACTGTCTTCTCTTGATTTGTTCTCTGCAATCTTGTATTTCACGACTTACCATATCACCTCATATTCATATCTAGCTGTGATTTCTTTTACCAATTCTATTTTTACCTTTAAAATTACTATTTGGGAATCTCCACTTAGCTGCATTTTACTCACTTATAACTTAGCATGTCATTATTCTGAGCCTAAATCATCTTTTCCTCACTTCCTTGTTTCTGATAATAAATGAAAATTTTTGCCGCATGGTTACTAGATATGTCTCCTGTACAATAATTCAAATGATGCTATACCCTTACTGGTTTTGTATTTAATCTTCCTAAGCCTCAGTTTTCTCATTTTAGAGTAGTGAAGATATTTGGATTGTAAGAATTAAAATATAAACTCATACGTAACAGGACAATCTTGGTGACTAGTATATGGAAGGCATTCATTAGGCTTTCTCTTATTTAAGCATCTCCAGGGCTCTGTATTATTTATAAAATAAGAGTTAGTTGCTTCCCAGCCTGATGCATAATCTCTCATTAAATTGTCCTCTAGGAATGCTTCAGTTTTTCTTTTGCTCACCTCTTTTTCTCTTTATCTCAAAGTCAGCCCTTCATTATTTCCACCAGTTGCAGTCCTACCAGTTGAAATCCCAATTACCTTTCATAGCCCAGTTTAATCATATTCTCTTCTGCAAAAGGCTCCCTAAAGATGGTAATTAGATGTGCATTCTCCTTTTCACGTTTCAATTCTTTTTCCACAATTTACCAAATTCTCCCTTGAATTGCAGGTATAGCTGTAGATGATATCTTTCTGTTAGACCTTTACATTTATTTTGAGGGCTAGCTTTATTCTTAACTATTTATAAACATCACAGTGCTAATAATGTGCTTTTCCACAATAAACTCTCAAAATATATGTTGACTAACTTAATAATCAGTGATTTCTGTATACATTCATATCTTCACATAATTCAGAGGGAAAAACTGATTGTGAAATATGATAGAGTTATGGGTCATGACATTGTACAAATATGTTAAAACTACATTTGATTAGATAATGTAATTGTCTGCTAGAGAAGGCATATATGGTTTGTTCACTTTATGTGGCCTCAGAAGAATGGAATCAGGCCTAGACTAAACATTTTATAATCTTTCACTGGCCTTCCTGGAGATAAACTGCTCAGTCTTTGCCATCTCTAATTATTGTAATTTTGTACTTAGAACACATGTGTTATATGGAAATCTCCCTTGCCTGCACTATTTCCTCATGCCCTGCTGGCAAGCACAGTAGGTAGTTGTTGAGGTTCCATTTTGCAAAGGCTATAGTTAAAGCCATTTTGAAGAGAATTCTTGGATTTCTAGGTTATGGATTCGCCTATTTAGTTAAAATGAAGGGGGAATTAAAGTAATTAAAATATATTATTTATGAAAATAAATTTAAAAAACAGCATAATCCATAACACCATCATAATAAAGGACAAGAAGAGGAGAGTACAGGAGTAGGGAGAAGAAGCATATGAAGAAATAAAAAAACTGAGCTGTCCAGAAGAACTTTCTACCCTGATTACAATTTCTCAACTCTTGATCTCACTTTCCCTGCATAGATATGGCCATAAAGTTCTTTATGATATAAGATTTAATCTATGACATAAGATTTTTCTTATAAAATTCTTATGATAACATAAGATTCCTGGAGCCCTTTATGAAACATTAGAATGTCCTTGGTTAGGAGGAAAGTTTGATATAATGAAAAGAATGTTGACTTTGGCTTTGACAACTGGGAACTAGATGCAAGTTCTAGCTCTTGTATTACTGTGTGATCTTAGACTAGTCACTTAAAATCTCTGGTGCATTTGTTCCTATCTGAGAATAATCCTGTAAAATACTTTCCTAAATGTAAAGTGTTTTGTCAGTAATGACTCAGTGAAGGGGCTATGATGATTTCTGAAACCAGAAGAATACATAAAGCCTTTAATTCTCACCTCAAGGGCTCTGCTCTTGCTTTTCTCTGCCTGGATCTCTCTTCTCTCTTTTTATTCTGCAAGTCCTAATTTTAAATGTTCTCACTTTAGTGAGAGGTCTCTCTTGACCATTGTGTTAGTTTGCTAGGGCTGCTATGGATGGCTTAAACAACAGAAATTTATTTTGTCACATTTGTAGAGCCTAGAAATCTGAGATCGAGGTGTTGGTAGGCTTGGTTTCTTTTGAAGTCCTCTCTCCTTGGCTTGTAGATAGTCATCTTCTTCAGACATAGGTTCTTTCTATGTCTGTGTTCTATTCTCCTCTTCTTATAGGGACATCAGTTATTAGATTAGGGCTCTACTAATATGACCTCAGTTTTAACTTAGATACCTCTTTAAAGGCCCTTTTAGCAAGACAGTCACATTCTCAGGTACTGGAGATTCAATTAAGGATTTTGTGGGACACAGTTCAGCTCATAACAAGCACCTTATGAAACTGGTTTCTCCAGAATGCTTCATCTCATTTTATATGCCTATATATTACTTATTTGAAATTATTTTATTAGTTTACTCTTTTTGCCTGACTTTTCACTTGAATTTAATCTTCATGAAGGTGAAGACTAGATCTTGTTACTTTTATATCCTCACCCTCTGCAAAGTGCCTTGTATGTGGAAAGTGCCCGGTTTTGTCATGTACTAGGCATGTGACATTGGGTAAATTATTTCATCTGTCTGCATCTTAGTTTACTTAGTGAACTAGAAACCTTAAGAGCATTGTCTTCCTATGATAATTATTTTTTTTAGTGATTAGAATGTCTGACAGATAGAAAATGTTCCGTAAACATTAGCCATTATTCTTTCTTTCCACACATTTATAGAAAACAAGAATTAGTGAATCAAGTGCCTTTATTTTCAGAACTTAAATATTTCTGAATTGCTCTCATACACCAATCTATCACAAAGCAGATTTTTTTTGGCTTTCAGAATGCCATATTCTTTAGTGAACATGTGAACAACCAGAAACCCTTTTGGTGCTGAAAGTTTTGTGTTCCTAACCGCATCTTCATAGTAGCTTCTCTCCAATTGCTTTGACTGCATGCATCAGATCTTTTGGGTAGGTGTATCTTCTGTGTACTTGTGTTAATGATGATTTGTGTATGTACACATATATAATTTTTTATTTAGAGTTAACTGGATATGGGAATGCAAACACTGACTACAAGATAGAATAACTGGATTCCAGGGGAACTAAAGGCCAAAAGCTTAGCTCTAGCAAAAGGAGACAAGAAAGTTGGGATCCAGAGTGGTGTTGAACAAGGAGTCAGAGGAACTGGTTCAGGAGGTTGGCCTAGATGGGGCAGAGCTCAAAGAGGGCAAGACAAGAACTCCTTATCCTTTGCCTATCTAGCCTGTTCCAGGGGCATATATAAGTCAGAGAGCCTATGGGTTTCTCAACAGGATCTGAATCAGCAGTGCCTGAATATATCCATGCTAGGATTGATGTATACAGACTGAAAGATTTTTAAATGATCTAATCAGTTCAGGGATATACCTTATCTACTATTTAGGACTTATAATTGTCTATAATAAATTCTTTATATATATATAATTGCACTTTAGGTTCTGGGGTACATGTGCAGAACATGCAGGATTATTGAATAAGTACATACATTCTTTATAGCAGTTCTAATGCCAATCTGTATTTTTATGGAAAGTAAACTTATTTCATAGATGATTTTCTGAAATATGCCAAAATATGTTATTTTTAAAGCATTCAAGAAGTAATAAATTAGAAATAATGGCCAAATGTGTAGAGCATTTACAATGTATCAGGCACTGTGGTAAGCACTTTAGATGCTTACCACATTTCATTATCACACATCTATGTTGGTAATTGTATTAGTCCATTCTTGAATCATTTTAAAGAAATACTTGAGATTGGGTAATTTATAAAATAAAGAGGTTTAATTGGCTCATGGTTCTGCAGGCCTCAGGAAACTTACAATCATGGTGGAAGTTGAAGGGGAAGGGGAAGGAGTGCCTTCACATGGCCAGAGCAGGAGAAAGAGAGAGAAGGGGAAGGTGCTATATACTTTTAAACAACCGGATCTCACGATCGCTCATTCACTCATTATCAGGGGAACAGCACGGAGCAGATGAGGCTAAACCATTCACGAGAAACTGCTCCCATGATCTAATCACCTCCCACCAGGTCCCACTTCCAACATTGGGGATTATGATTGAATATGAGATTTGGGTGGGTACACATCTCCAAACCATATAAGTAATATATTATTTCAATTTAAAGAGGAGGAAACTGAAAAATTATGTGGTCAAAATAACACAGTTTATAAGGTGAAGATCAGCACAGAAACTAACACTCAAATTCCATTCCATCTAGCATTTACTAGGTGTTTATTTTGCCTTTGCTGTATGTGCAAAATGATATATAAGGGTTATAGCTTTAAATCCTGACAACATTTTTTGGTGGTAGATATAATTCCTAATTTTCCAGTGTGGATGCTAAGGCTTAGAGAGTTTTGCTGAGGGCCTTAACTTTATGAAACAGAATCATAAACATGAGTTCCAGGGCTTTGAGTGAAAGCAGCAAAGGAAAGGATTTTGTCTGACTGTCACAACCCTCCTTATAACTAATGTATTTTTTATATTTGCAGTCCAGATGTAGTTAAAAAAAGACACACACACATTGAAGTTACCATAAATAGAAAGAGGAGGGTTTCTGGGTGAAGTAGTGGTAAATATTGTACAGTTTTATTCAGTGTGAAACACAAAGGCTTCCAACACAGGAATGTTTCCAACACTAATGTAGCATCTGTGCCTCTGAAACTAGTTCTCTCTAACAATGAGCAACTTCTTATTTGGACAGTGCTGGCACTAAACACCATGACAGGAATGACTCTTGGCAATACCTTTTTGAGAGGAATAATATGGTTTTAAAAAAAAGTGAGTATGTAAAACAGAGATTTGGCAAATAGACCATCCAATTTTGACATCCCAGCAAATGTACCCTTATTAAAAATTAAAGTTGAGACATATAGCTTTTGCTTTCATTTTTCCTAGGATAGGATAATCCCTGAATTCCCATGTTGAAAAGAAAATGCTAAAATATCAACATCCCTATGAATCACTCCCTTATGCAATAAATCCTGAAATTCAACCTCAAAATTCTGTAGTTACAAGCCTATCACTAGTGTGTTTCTTTTAACACATGACAATATCCATGCACACTGAGGCTGCATATTAGTTCTCTCCAGAGGTTGTAAATAATCTCACACAATATATGTGGCTTTGTTTTTTATAACTGCAGAAGTAGACAAAAAGGTTTGGAAAAATGTCTGCTTTTCCCCCACTTCATGAACTCTTTAGTCTGATTATTGGGCCCAGGATAAGTAAAACTTAAGTGTGTTTGCTCTTAATTAAAGCTCTTTTCATGGTGTACCCAGAGGCACCACTTAAGAAGTGTGCAAACCACATGAGATGAATAGTAAGTACTCTGGTTTACCGCCCAAAAGATTATCTATGCATTTTTCTTTTGAAAAATTGAAGTTAGAGACATAAGCAAGAAGCTTCATACATAGAAAATTTAATGTATGTCAGTCATTCTCACATATTTGTGTTTCTATTAGCAAGGGCTTTACAAAGAAACTGCCATATGGAGTAGAATTGAATAGGAGAATGTTCTCACCTACACAGAAATAAAGGCATGACACTCTTGTATAAATTTCAGTTCTTCTTCTTTCTTGCCACCAAAGCTCATGGCTTATGTTCCTAAGTAAACTATAAGTTCTAGTCATATGTTTGTTGTGTATAAAAGAATACAGAAAAGTAGTAATAACCATTCCCATAAACAGGACACCTATACAGGCTCTCATAAAACTTGAAAACAAGGGATCTATTAGGTATAGCAACAAATGGTGGAAAAAAGCTGCTTGTCTTGATGTAGCTTTGAGAACAATCAAGCACAGTTTTCCAGCATTAGAATTCTGTATTTCTTATCTGGCTTAATCTACTGTTTTTATAACCCCTTCCTGACTTTGGGTTTTTAACCTTTCTGATTCTTAATTTCCTTATCTGTATTCATACTAAGATATTTTCAGGTATTCTTCAAAGTTTTTCATGCATTAGCCCTTTTAATCTTCAATATAATGCCATAACATAGATATTATTTCCTGTTATACAGATGAGGAAACAGGTTTAGGGAGGGTAACTTGCCTAACTTGATATAACCAGTAAAAGTGTTAGCATCAGACTCATGTTATTCTGACACTAATGTCCAAGCACTTAACCCTGGTGGTTGTAAGGACTAACTAAGATATTGGGTATATAGTAGGAGCTTAACAAATGACTTATTAATTCAGTAAATATTTTAGATGTTTATGCTGTGTGCCATGTACTGTTCTATGCATTTAGGCTATAGCTGTGGATGATTAAAAAAAAGACAAAATCTACATAATCATGAAATTTATGGTATAATGAGGAACACAGATAACTTTAAAAAAAATTTTCTAGGCAGTGAGGACTGTTTGCAGAAAAATGAGGTTGCATAGGGAATAGATATTGAAGATGGGATGACTATTTCAAGGTTTTCCTGACAAAGTGACATTTGAACAAACACCTGAATAAAGTATGGGAGCAAGTTACCAAGAAATAAGTAGAAAGAATGTTCCAAGCAGAGAGGGCAAATAAGTGCAAAGCTCTGGAGTATTCAAGGAACATGAAGGAAATCTGTCTGGTTGGAGTGGAATGACTTAGGGGAAAGTACTATGATTTTATTCTGAATTAGATGGGAAGCTATTGTAGGATTTTTAAGCAGAGGCATGAAACTATCTGATGAAAATTTTAAAATAAGGAGTACTCTGGTTGCTGACGTAGACTAAAGACATTGAAGTAGAATTAATAGGATTTTCTTATGAACTGGATGTGGTTGGAATTGGTGGGAGACAGTCTCAAATAAGTTTTTGACCTGAGAAACTTAAAATGGAATTGCCATTGATAGAGTTAAGGAAGAGTGGAGGTGGGGGTGGAAGTAGAAACAGGAAAACATATGTTCAGGTTGTTATATTCATGTCATATTTGAGATGCTTAGTAGGCATCCAAAAGGACACATCAGTTGGATAAACAAATCTGGGATTTAAGGGAAAAGTTGGGGTTAGAGATATATATTTAAGATCTGTTAGTCTGTATATGATATTTAAAATATGGAACCAAATGAAATCACCTAGAGAGTGAGTTCAGCTAAAGGACAAAGGGATCTGGGCTTGGGGCATTCAAGTAAAGGAGCTCCAGAAGATGAATAGGAACCAATAGAGAAGACTGAAAAGAAGAACCAAGAAACTGCTGTCGTGTTCACAAGAAATTGTGTTCACTCACAGCATTTCTGACACCAAATATGTGAGTATTTTATCTTACTAACAAGTTCTTCAATACTAACAGGGTGTTCCACAGTTCAGCTCAATTCTGCCACCCCAGACATTAAATACTCAGTGCCACAAGATCACGTCCCCAATTTCAGATGCTAGTCACAAGTCCCAGGCCTCCTGTATTTCTGACCAACCAGCTACAAATTGGGAGGTCAAAGACCCTCTCCTCAGGTTCAGTAATTTGCTAGAATGGCTCATGGAACTCAAGAACACTCTTATTCTTACTAGTTTATTATAAAGATACAGCTCAGGGACAACCAAACAGAGGAGATGGATAGGGCAATGTATGGGAAGATTGCCTGGGACTTCCATACCCTCTTCTGGCTTATCTCCCTCCAAGCACCTTGATGTGTTTACTGACGCAGAAGCTTTGAGACCCCCAGCATTTAAGAGTTCTATGAAGGATTCATTACATAGGCATGATTGATGTAATCATTGATTATTAGTGACTGACTCAATCTTTAGCCTTTCTTCCCTCCCCTGAGGTTGAAGGGGAGGAGGCAGAAAGGTACAAACCTCTAATCATGTCTTGGTCTTTCTGGTGGACAGCCCTCATTCCAAAACTACCTAAGGGCCACCAGATTACAACCAAAGTTGCTTCAATCATTCAGAAAATTCCAGGGGATTTAGGAGCTTTGTGTTAGGAACTGGAACAAACATGAAATATTAGAAAAGAGACTCCTATTACCCTGTCACTTAGATATAACAGGAGTTTTAGGAACTTTGTCTCAGGAACCAGGAACAAAGAAAAACATTCATTTCTTATTATGGCACAATAAAGGGAAAAGGCTAGGAGAGATGGTGTGTGTCTGTAGTCCCAGCCACTTGGGAGGCTGAGGCAGGAGGACTTCCTGAGCATAGGAGTTAGAGGCCAGCCTGAAAAATAAAAAGAAAAGGGAAGGGGTGATCAACCATGTCAAATGTTGCTGATCAACAAGTAAGATGAGGGCTGGATTTGACAATGAGAGGGTCATTGGTGATCTTGGCAAAGCAGTTTTCAAAGAGGTATTGAAAGGAAAACCTCCTCAGTGTGTTTCAAGAAGGAATGGAGGAGAGGAAGTGGGAAGGGTAAGTACAAACAAGATAAACAGGATTTTGAAGATTTTTGTTTTAGTGGAAAACATAAAATGTGGATGATAGCTAGGGAACAACATGCACAAGAGGGTTGCTTTTTAAGATGAAGCATGTTATAGCTCACTTGATGCTGAAGGGAGCATTTCAGTAGAGAAAACAAGATGATCAGGAAAGAGAGGGAGCAACTTTTGTAATTTTATTAATTTATTATTATTGCTGATAATTATAATAAGATTCATATCCAAAAGCCTTACAAATCAATCAATTATACTAGTAGCCAATATTTATTGAGCATTTACTGTATGACTGGGACTATTTCAAACACCTCCAATTGTCCTAACATTGCTTTATTCTCTTAATGTATATTACCACCCCCATTTTACATATGAGAACATATAAACTTAGCAGAATTAAGAATTGCCAAACCCAAGTTTGGCTGCCTTAGTGTAGACTATTAATGTCTGCTAGGTTGCCTCTGGTAAACTGCTTACTGTATTTCAGTTAGGCAGGGTATTAGACCTTTTGGGGAGATTTCAACAAATACCTTTCCAGTTATTTCAAAATCAACCAAATATTTTATGGGTTAGTGAAGGTGTGGTCTTACTCAGATGCCTCATTCCATATCACTTACTTTTTGCATAAACATAACTATAAATCTGGAATATCTGTGAATGCCACTGGACAGGATGATAGAAATGAAAGGATCATTTTAGGACAGCAAGACAGATGGTTCACCCAGTCTTATGGGTATCTTTGAGACTGTTACCTGAGCAGCCTGATGAAATAGATGTGAATTTTTTTTTAACCATTATTCTTTAGTCACTTATTTGGAGACACAGCTGTAAAGAAAGTGGACAGCCTAGAATGGCCCCAGAACTTCCTGACCCTTGATGAGATACAAGAGGAAGATAAGACCCCAAAGCAGGCCCAAACTGGAACAGATGACCCTTAGTTGTCTTTAGACTATAAGCATGTTATTATAATGCTAGAATTCCCTTTCCAAAAAAATATGCCTCTCATTTTATGTACATTGGCTGCATGAAGATGTACATTTATGAATTGAGCCTGTGTCTGGGGTCCCACCCTGTATATGCTAACACATTCCTTTCCCTCCTCATATGTAGTCCAAAAAAACCTCATGCCTTCTATTGTTCAGGGGTAAGTGGCCTTTAGAGGGTAAGCTCAATCCTTGTCTGTTTCTGACCAGAAAGAAACCCTGCTTGCCTTTTGTTCTAATTGGGTATTCCTTTTTTGAAACCAATACAAAATAGGCAAAGAATTCATTCTACCAGTGACAAGACCACTGTATTGGGGGGTGTCTTATTTCATTTTGCATTACTATAAAGGAATACCTGAGGCTGGGTAATTTATAAAGAAAAGAAGTTTTGGCTCACAGTTCTGCAGGCTATACAAGAAGCATGGGACTGGCATCTGCTTCTGGTAAGGAACCTAGGAGCTTCCAATCACAGTGGAAGGAAAAGGGGAAGCAGATGTGTCACGGGCAAGAGAGAGAATGAGCAAGAGAGAAGTGAGTGAGAAGAAGGAAGAGAGTGAGAGAGGAAGGTGCTAGGATCTTATTAACAGTGAGTGAGATTTCTTTCATGCACTCCCATGAGAATGACACCAAGAAATTCCGGAGAGTTTCACCCTCATGACCCAAACACCTCCCAGTAGCCCCCACCTTCAACATTGGGGATCAAATTTCAACATGAGATTTGGAGGAGACAAATATCCAAACTGTATCATAAGAAATATTGAAAGATTTTTTAACAAGGTTTGTGGCCTCAGGCAAGTTATTTAATGTGTATTAGTCCAGTTTTCATACGATGTACTTTGCAGGACTTTGGCCAGGATGACACACACATGAGAGATAATGTGTGTCAATTGCCAAGTACGGTGCCTGCCACAGAGTAAGCACTTAACAATGCTCACTGTTTTTTTTTTTTTTTCTCAGTAGCTTAGAAAAGGCAGTTTTGGCCGGGCGCGGTGGCTCACGCCTATAATCCCAGCACTTTGGGAGGCCGAGGCGGGTAGATCACTAGGTCAAGACATCGAAGATCATCCTGGTCAGCATGGTGAAACCCCGTCTCTACTAAAAATACAAAACTTAGCCGTGCATGGTGGCGCAGCCTGTAGTCCCTCAGCTACTCGGGAGGCTAAAGTAGGAGAATTGCTTGAACCCAGGAGGCGGAGGTTGCGTGAGCCAAGATCGCGCCATTGCACTCCAGCCTGGGTAATAAGAGCGAAACTCCGTCTCAAAGAAAAAGAAAAAGAAAAAGAAAAAGGCAGTTCTTCATTTCCAAATGAATTCCAGTGAGCTTTATAAAACTTACAGGGCCATAGGGATTGCTTGATTACAAAGAAATATTTGGGAATTGAACGGGAAACTGTGTTTAGAATGCTGCGTTGTAAAGAGACTATTTCATGCTCTAGGTCTATTCAACCCAATTGCAGCTGGGCACCACGTGAAGGACGTCCTTCCTATTACAAGGGTAACTTACCTTGACAGCTAGTTCAGTTTATCTTACAAAATCAACATCTTCGTGAGGCAGACATTTTGAAATTGTGCTGTGTTGTCAATGATCTATTCCCAGTGATTTTCAAATTTTCTTTAGTGGTAGAGACCCTTCTTTATGAATAAAATTTAACATAGAATCTCAAAATATGAAAAAAATAGTATAGGCAAACTGCTTTTCTTGAAGCTAGGCTAGGAGTGGGTCCCAACTTAGCCCCCTCTTCAGCAGTTTCCCCTCCTCACCTCACGTGGTCCTTCAGGCTTAACAAGGAAACCTTAGGCCTCTGTGGGATCTGGTTTTAAAAATACTTGTCTTTAGAAGGGTCTCTACCACTAAAGAAAATTAAAGCCTAGGCACTGAGGGTATCAATGCATGAACCTTTCAACAGTATTTATCTAGCATAGACTATACTCCAGACATTATGCTGAGTAGTGTTAGGAACACTGTGGTGAATAAGTAAGACCCGGCTTTAATTATGTAGGCTTTAAACATAGAGATATTTGTTGTATCAAATGACTGAGTCCAGAGCTAGAGAGGCTATGGTAGGCAATATAATAGCTCCCCAGAGATGTTCATGTCCTACTTCCAGAAACCTATGAACATGTTGTTGTTGCATGGCAAAGGGGAATTAAGCTTGCAGATGAAATTAGGGTTGCTAGTCAGCTGGCCTTAACATAAGGAGTTAACCTGGATTTTCCAGAAAGAAATGCAGCCATGCTGCCACTTTGATTTTAACTAAGTGAAACCCATTTGAACCTCTAATCTCCAGAACTGTAAGATAATAATTGTTTTTGTTTGTTTAAAGCCACCAGTTGTAATTTATAAGAATGGTGAGGAAATTTATAGATAAATTACAAATGGTGGCTTTAAACAAACAAAATTACAAAATTTATAGATATATTACAAATGGTGGCTTTAAAAAAACAAAAACAATTATTAAGAACTGCAGCAATAAAAAATGCAATTAATCTTAGCCAAAGGGCCCAGAAGCCATAGCAATAGAAAATTAATATAGTGGACTTCGGGGTTTGTTAATTCAGCAACTCAAAAGTCATCAAGAGTGTAAAAAAATGGCATATAGACCAAAGGAATAAAATTGAGATTCCAGAAGTAAACCTATAGATCTATGATCAATTAATTTTTGGTTTTTTGCTTGTTTGTTTTTTGCTTTTTTGAGACAGAGTCTTATTCTGTTGCCGAGGCTGGAGTGCAGTGGCACAATCTTGGTTCACTGCAACCTCTGCTTCCTGGGTTCAAGCAGAGATCTTGCCACCTTGGCCTCTCTAGTAGCTGGGACTACAGGCATGTCCTGCCAAGCCCAGGAAGGTGTTGTATTTTTTGTTTTTTTTTTTGTAGAGATGGGGTTTCACCATATTGCCCAGGCTAGTCTCAAACTCCTAAGCTCAAACAAACCACCCATTTTGACCTCCCAAAGTGCTGGGATTATAGTCATGACAAGCAGGCCCAACCCTACACGTGAACTAAAACCATAAAACTCTTAGAAGAAACTATAGAGGTCATCTTTATGACCTTAACCTTGGCAACTGGGTCTTACATATGACACTGGAAGCAAGAGCAACAACAACAAAAATAGATAAACTGGGCCACATCAAAACAAAAACACTTGTGCATAAAACAACATAGTCAAGAAACTAAAAAGACAACCTGCAGAATGAAAGGAAATATTTGCAAACCTCATCTCTAATAGAAGTTTCTATTCAGACTATATAAAGAATTCCTACAACTCAATAACAAAAACACGAACAACCCAATTAAAATAGAGGTGAGGATGTGAATAAACATTTCTTCCAAGAGGATATGCAAATAGCCAATAAGCACATTAAAAGATGCTGAACATCTTTAGTCATTAGGGGAACATCTATTAAAACCATGAGATATCACATTTTATACTTGCTAGGATGGTTAGATATAGATATAGATATTTGTAAAAGGAAAATAAGTGTTGGCAAGGATGTGGAGAAATTGGAATTCTCATGCATTGCTGATGGAAATGTAAATGGTACAGCTGCTGCAGAAAACAATTTGGGCATTCTTTAAAAGGCTAGACATAGATGAGCCAGTAATTTCACTCCTAGATACATAACCAAGAGAAGGGAAAGGAAAGACTCTAACAGATATTTGTATGCCAGTGTTCATCCCAGCATTATTCACAATAGCCAAAAGGTACAAATAACTCACATGTTTATCAATAGATGAATGGACAAACAAATGCTGTATATATGTACGGTGGAATATTTTTCAGCCTTAAAAAAGAAAGGAGGTTTTGATATGTGCTTAAACATTGATGAACCTTGAAAATATGCTAAATATAAGTAAATTAGCCAGATACAAAAGAACAAATTTTGTATGATTCCATTTGTATGAAATATCTAGAATTGGCAGATTTCTAAAGACAGATAGTAAATTTGAGGTTACTGGAAGCTGGGGAGAAAGAGGAATGGGAGCTGCTGCTTAATGGACACAAAGTTTCTCTTTAGAACAATGAAAGTTTGGAAACATATAGTGGTGATGGTTGTATAACATTGCGAATGTAATTAATGCCAGTGAACTGAACACTTAAAGTGATTAAAATGGCAAATTTTATGTTTTTTTTTTTAACCACAATAAAAAAATCATCAAGGACTCAGGTTCTTTCCTTCTTTTCTCTTTGCTATCTATTGCATCAACTTCATCCATCCTAAGGCTAGTTCATTTCTCATTTTCCTCTTTCAGACAATAACAAAAACTGTAACTGAGTTATGAGACCCCTAGAACCATAGAAGGGCAAGACGAATGTTATCAACATGTCAATAACAGTAATCATTACAGCCCAAAGTGGTAATGTTAAGAAAAGTGGTATCAATGTGGATTTTGATCTCCAGAGACATATTACCATCAGCCTAAGGCAAGTTGGAAGGATAGCAGGGCTGAAGTGGCAGGAAAGCCTAAGCTTTCCTGGGCCCTACCAGAGAGTGCAAGACTGTAGTGACAATTGGAAATCTGTGAATATTCAGTCATCATCTCTAAAAAGATTCTTAATTTACTAAAAAGTTCTAGAAAAACTTGAAGAGATTTTAGAGGCTGATTCCTGGACAAAGTAAGAAATGATTCTGGGTCTTAAGGAAGAATGTCAGGATCTCAGTTAAAAAGACTGGCACAGAACCCAAATTTGGCATTTAAGGGAGAATATGGAGAGATGCTGGGGGTAAAGCAAGACTTGCAGACAGTAAAGAGGAGATTGGGTTTTCTAAGGAGTGACCTAAGGGAGGGAGAATACTCTGCAACAGGGTCAGCCTTAAGAAAAACTGAGGGCTAAAGACTTAGTTTACTATACTGCTCTCAAGTACCTTGAAGCCTAGGCCTGCTTTTTCTTGTGCTCAAGTGCCTCTGGAATCCTGGTTATGGCCAAGCCTTCCCCCAGTAATAGCTGTTTTGAGAAATAATACAGTATTTTTGAGGCAACTATCATGGGTGGGACCTGAATTTCATAAATCTTTGATCTCTAGAAATTAGCTTGATGGTCTTTGCCAGATTGGATATTTGTTGTTGCTCTTCTTATTAATAAAGATAATGATATGAGAGACTCTTTTAAGCTCATTAGGTATTAGTAACAAGCATTTAAGGGAAACAAATAATACTTGAATAGAAAAACACTTTTGTGAAGCTTAGCATTTTGTAGTCCATAAAATATATTATATTTGCCAGCCTCAGCCTCATGACTTGGCCCATATCAGACCTTTTCCTACATTGGCCTGTGTGTTGGGCCTGGGATCAGATTTATCACTAGTGGAAAGAATAGTCAGCTTTGGAGGGGTGTGAGTAGAAAGACTCAGGCATGACACCAAAACTAGATCTCGTAAGTCAGTAAGACAATTGATATTTGAGGGACTAAGTCCCAGAAAAGATGTGTTTCCAAAAAGTTGATATCTAGTTACTACCAACCAAAGACAGAAGTATGGTCAAAGAACTTGTAACCAAGCAGGTCTGAAGTATAAACAAAAAGCTGGATTTTGCTTAGTCTTTTTCCTCTAGCAGACTTACATAGCTTTTTTGTTCCTATATAGTATAGAGGTCTAGTAGTCTCAACTCTAAGCACAAATTCTGATTGTCAGGGGCTGAGTAGGTTAATTTGATAGTTCAGATTCAAAGTCATGATGATTAGAGGGCAGAATGGTATATTCTCAGATTGATGAGGGCCTGTGGGATTTCTGGAATATGTAATTCCAAAGCTGGATCTTCTAGGGTTACTTGAGAGCTAAGACGGTGTCTGAGTCTTAACCCTTCCAAACAGGACCCATACTACCCATATGGTACCTTTGTGTAGATTAGAAAAAGATGTCCTGTCCACTGGGTGATGCAAGCCCCATGACAGGGCCTGAAGCTTACTGAGCAGAGGGCAGGCTGGCTTTAGCCTCCCGTCATCATTCTGGGTAGGCAACTATATGTAGTGAGCCACCTGCATGATCATACAAGATAGCAGCCTGGCCTTCACATCATACATGAGGATTAACCACAATTAGCATATTTTGGCAAATCTCAACATGTGAGAGTATCAAATACATTTATAGAAAGTGTTTGTTTAATTAATGCAAATAGAATTAAGAAGCTTTACTTTCTGACTAATCCTAAATGCAACATTACTATGTACTATGATCCTCACTTTTTTTCTCACATTATCATGTAAAATCATTGATTTTTACTTGTTTCATTTCAACTTGTGCAGCTCTCTATATTAAAAGGAGTATACAAAAATGGTTTACTTTCATTCTAGCTAACTAACATTTTACTACTAGTTATGAAGGTTAGGTCTTCGTTTTACTTGTGTCTGATAGCCTTGATTTACAGTGGATAGAGTTATGTGTCGGGGTGGGAAGGCAGGGAGAATTTATGATCAACTAGGAACAAATATTGGTCTAGACTCAGTGTTCTAATGGGTGACTGGATGATTTTTCTGAAAATAGGAATCTCCAAAAGAAGTGTCTGAATAGATTTATAACATAGAATTAGAGTTTCAAATATTATTAATGTTTTCTGCCACCCCTACCATTAAAGGAGGTCCATTTTGATGAGGATGTATTGTTACCTCTGCCTGGTGTTTTGTTTTATTTTTGTATTGTTTTATTTTGTGTTTTTCTTTTGCCTTCTTCGGTTATTCACTGCTTGATTACTGAAATACCAATCTTGGTCCTCTACCACTCTCTAAGCCAAACTTGATAGAAACTTAGTCTCCTCATTGGGTATCTTCAGGCTGCTGTAGCAAAATACCATGAACTGGATATCTTGTGAACAACAGAAATGTATTTCTCACACATCTGGAGGCCGGGAAATCCAAGATCAAGCTGTTGGCAGGTTTGGTGTCTGATGAAGGCTCTACCTTCCAATATTATCACATAGGGGATTAAAATTTTAACACAAAAATTTGGGAGAGATACAAATGCTCAGACCATAGCATTGAGTATAGTCACACTCTTCAGACTCAGAATCTGGAGGCACAGTCACAACTCCTAGGATCCAGTTTGTTCCCTAACTCATTTTTTTAAAAATATTATTTAGATTCAAAATCTGGTATGTCAGGAGTATAGCTTACAAGTCACAAATATTAATTGAATATTGTTGAACCTATTGTGGTCCAGGCAGTAAGCTAAGACCCAGAAGTAAAGTGTGGATCAAAAAGATAAAGGCAAGAGAAGAGAGAGCCACAATATAGCCTTTATTATAGGAAAATTGGTAGCACAGGTATGTGGTCCCAGTCCTAGTCTTGAAAATTTGGGAAACCGTCTTCCAGGAAGAGAAGAGGAGTGAGACTTAGCCAACTGAAAATATGTAAACCCTAGAAGCAAGGGATCATGGCACATTTAGGAAACTACAAGGAATTAGTTAGGACTAGAGCATATAATGTAAGGAGTATAGTGGTCAAAATGGAGGTTGGTAGAAGACAGAACAGTTAGGAGGCTACTGTAGTAATCCAACTGATAGATGATGATATCTTGAACTAAGGTAATAACTGTGGGGATGGAAAGAAAAGAGAAATTTAAAAGACATTAAAAGATACAGAAGAAAAGATGAGTGTTTGATTTGGATATGAAGGGTATGAGAGAGGGAAACAGTTTGTATAGTGCCTATGTTTCTGACTTTGGCAATTGAGTGGGATGTGGTGGCTATAGCCAAGAAGGAGAAATGTTTGAAAAAGAGGAGTCTTGGAAAATCTTTACTTCCTTCCTAGTAGCCTACTTAGTTACTCTTTCTAGCATCCTAGTCAGGTCTCTCAGATAAATAACTTTGCTCTGAAGTTAGCCTATTGCACATTTCTGATATCTCATCAGTATCCTTGAGGGCTAGAACTCTACCCTAGAAACAAGCCCACTGCCACCACCTCCATTGGATGGAGATATTTTAGACATGGACATAATTCCTTGAATCACAGTTACAACACACTAGGACACTGAGTATAAATCCATACCAAGATTCTGCTCTGCACTGCTCAGTCTGGCAAACATACCCTGGGTTTTGACAGTTGTATTACGCTTGAGGTCTTTCTGATTTTTGGCACCACTTTGGGCTATGTCTTAACTTGGTCACCTTGTATTATTAGGCCAACAGCTCCAATAATGATTTTTCTCCTCTACGATGACCCAACAATGCTGCAGATTTGTTCCAGACTGGCCTGAAAATAAGACTATGGATAATGGGGTATGAAAGTTGAAGCAGCACTCAGAATTCTTCTACTTTGCCAGCTCTAACCTTGCCTTTGAAAGATAAACCAAAATTGAATATTACTGGAGCTGCAGAAATGGTATAGTGTCCTATTATTTCTCTTCCTCCCTCTCCAAGAAAGCACATGGTGGAAGAGTGGGCTCTCTGTTAAGTACCAGTTACTTTCACCTTCTTAAGCTTTGATTTGAAGCTAGTTTCTAGTCCTGCAAACTTAAAACAAAGAGCAAACCAACCAAAGAACAACCTGATGATAATTAGATGGCTCTCAAACCATTAAGTTGCCTCTTAAAATTCTTACCTGTGGTGAGTACACAACATTCAACACCTTTGCTCCACATGCAGCCTCTCACTAGGCAGTTAGAACCAATTACCTTAGGTACAGATTTATTAGAGTGGTTGAGTTAATGTGCCTCATTAAAACCTCATGGAGATAAGTAACTCACAGATCCCTGCTGGCTAGAAACTTCTCTTCTGGTCAGGTTTTCACTGCTGACAGGCAATGGAAAGTTGATTAACCAGCAAATTTGACACGGTTAGATATAACTTAGAAGTTTAAAAACTTCACAGGAACTTTATGAGACTCATGGGCTGCTTGCCATTCTGGGAAATCAGACATTTTCACAAGAAAAAGGACAAACAGGGAGGTGTTTTTAAGGGAAAGGAGTAGTTAAGAAATGATGTCCTGTGGTATTTTTTCTGTAGGTAACAGTATGGTTCTGGGAACTCTTCTCAGGCACTGTATTTCCATCTCCTTCCTTGAGCAATAGTTGGAGGCCACAGGGAGATAAGAAAACATGAGTACTTGGTAGTGAGGGAGAAGTCAATATTTTAGTGTATTTTTTTCAGAGATAATGAATCTGCACTTTGGAGCTACCCTGAATATATCTGCACTAGTTCTCAGCTATGAGAGTGGGTGAGCAGAATGAAGAAGCTAAGAGGTATCCTGGAGAGGATAGTTTCTTAGAGCCCAGTAAACTCCCTAAACTGATGATAGAGGATACAAGCTAGATTCTAATGGGAAAAAAGGGGCTCCTTCTATACCTCAGTTACCAGGAGATGGGTCATGGCAAGCCCTACTGGTTAACACAGGTAGTTTCCTGCCTGACATGTGCTGAAGTAGCCTCTGTCTTCAAGCAGCCAGCATGGTATCCTGCAGGATACAGTCCATAAAGTGGATGGTTGTAACCTGTGATGGAAGTGGTTCCAAGCAATCTTTTCAGGATGTGTGGAAACCATTTATTACCTACTCAGTGCATGGTGAAGAGTTAGGACTAGGGAGTCATGAGAGAAAAGAGAGTTGCCCATACTAGGAAGAGTTACAGGAAGTGATTCAGTCTGGCTCCAAGACATTGTTGGAAAAAATTATTGAGCACATAAATATGCACATATTTCTTAAGCAATAGTTTTCTTTCATTGAGCAGTTACTCTTTGCATATTACATACAACTTTTCATTTCATATTCACAATGATCTTATGGGACAAGCATTTTCCAATTATGCAAAGGAGATAGGTACAAAAAGACTAAACAACTTGCTCTCTAAAAACATGTGCTGTTAACTACTTTCTACACCGTCTCCAAGTACTGTGTAGTTCTACTAATAGTAGTTAAGGACTTCAATTCTTAATGTTAGTTTAATTTGATGAGAAAATTATAATATTTTTGTTAGTTGATTCAGGTTGTTACTTGTAAACATCTCAAGGTGAAAAAAGTAAGACTGAGTAAACTACAAATATGTTGTCTCCTCTGTGTCTAACAGAGACCTAAAGCTATTTTTCAGTGAGATTAAATGAAGAAATAATGAATGTGACAGTGCCAAGCACAGTGACTGGAACATAATATATGTTTAAAACGTTGGTTTGTTATTTATCCTAGAATCATGTCAATTCAATCTTTAATTAGAGACTCAAAAGCAAATTATATAAGGAGTCTAAATAATATTTCAGATTTTCTTTAACATAAAGATGTTCTCTTTAAATACAGGTTTCAAAAAGATTTTAAAAATTTCTTCTTCTCTCCCTCTGTTAAAATCTCATTTAAATTTAGGTCTAGACATTTTACCTCTAAGCTATTTGTGTACTTACACTCTTCCTTATATTAAGACCAGAAGCACAGGACGGGGATGAATTAGGGAAGGATGAATCCAGCTATACTTTTGAGTTCACTGATCATCTCAGATGATTTTTCAAATGTTTTGGGCTCACTGAAATCCAAAACAGGTTTCACCCATGCTTTTACTCTTAAGTTTGGTGCATGTGCAATTTAAGGGAAATTTAATCCATATGTTTCTGATTCGTTTACACTTAAATAGTCAAAATATTGTTTTTAATAGTTATTTGATGCCCAAGTAGCCTTTTGAACCTTTAAAGTAAGCTTTTAGAAGCCTACATTTCTCTTCAAAACAGGAAATCATATCTTTCCAAGGAGGTAAACTAATTTATACATCTGAAAATTCAGGTTCAGTTGAAAACACCCAAAACCACAGGTTTTTAATGGCCTGTCTGCTTGGCAAATGAGCACTCAGCTTTAGACTTAAATGCTATTTGAATGCATCTACTTTTTCTGTATATTTGGACTGGACATCCATTTCAGTTGATATGGGACTATTTTGAGTGTTAGTTTTGTGGTCCTGAAGTTTGTAATTTACCTGGTTTTAACCTTTAGTACAATTATTCTTATTTTTAATTTATCCTAGCTCTTCTAATGGGTAGACTAACATGACTATACTTATTTTTCCCACTATTTTCTGTTGGTTTTCTCTCTTCTCCATCAATGATCATATATTTTCTTTGAATAAATGAAAGTAACAGATCTCCAATAAAATTATAAAACACTTCAATTTAGATGTGAATATTGTATCTCTCCTGCATACCCAGACAATGAGCAAAATCATGGTAGAACTAAAGAAAATTAAGCAACACGCCTTGTTTTTTTTTTTTTTTTAATTGAGAGTTACAGCAAAAAAAAAGGGGGGTTCGATTAGTTTTACTCAGAGATTTTAAAGGGCAGAGAAATTTAAAGAACTCAGAGTTCTGTTGAATGACCCCTTTCTCCTCTTTGCTTACACCATTGTAGCTATGCTATTTCCCAAGACACATCCATCCCTGCTCAGAGCCTTTAATATGTTGTGTCTTCTGCCTGTAACATTCTTATTCCAGGTGTCTACAAGACTCATTTCATTCCTGTCTGTTCTCAAAAGATACTTTATCAGAAAGGCCTTCCCTTCCTAGCCCATAAGAAATAGACCTCCTTCAGTTATCCATCTCCAATTCTTCATATTTCTACCCTATTTTATTTTTCTTCATAGCAGTTAATGAATCTCTCTCTCTCTCTGTCATTTCTATATTTTTGTTTTCATCCATCTCTACAAACCAGAATGTAATCTTTATGAGAGCAGGTATTGTTTTAGCTCACAGTTATATTCTAAGCACCTAGAAAAGTATCTAACATTTAATATGTCCTCTCTAAATATTTTTGAATGAATGAATAATTTTTGGCTTACTTGTATTTATTCTCATATGTCCATTTATACTTCAAAACATTCATAAATGTTTATTATTATTAAACTTGATTATTGACACATGCCTAGTCACTTACTAGCTGTGTGAACTTGGATATATCACTAAACCTCTCTGTGCCCCAGTTTCATCATTTATAAAATAGAGATTAATAATAGTACCTAATTCATAAAGCTTTTGTCAATATTGAAAAAAGTACATATAAAACCCCTAGTACAGAACCTGGATAGTAGTAAGTCCATAGTAAATGATGAAAAAAATTATTAAATAAACTTTGGAGAAGGAATACATACTGTAAATAAGGCACAGAGCTACTCTTGGAATACAGAATTGTACTTTCTTCCTCCAAGATGTTCACAGCTATTGCTATATAGCTTTTTTTCCCCCTGTCCAGTCTATTGAAATACTATATAGCTTTAGAAATAGTTTGACGGAAGTTTACCTAGCTTAATATTGCAATCCAGTTGAAGGGTGTTTAGACTTTCTAGGTCAAGAGAGGCTTGAACGGTATCTTTAGGGAAAATAGAAGTTATCAATAAAGAAGGAAAGGTAGACCAAAATAATATGCCAGTCAGAGGGCAACAGCACATAAAGAGGCATGGAAGCATGAGATAGTGTGACTGGGGAAGTGTAATTGTCTTAGTCTTTTCTGGCCACTATAACAAAATGTCATAGACTGGGTGGCTTATAAACAATAAAAGTTTATTTCTCACAGTTCTGGAGGCTAGGAAGTTCAAGACCAAAGTCCCAGCAGATTTGGTGTCTGGTGAGGACCAACTTCCTTGTTTAAAGAATGGTGCCTCCTCACTATATCCTCTTATGTTGGAAGGGGAGGGCTAGCACTCTGGGATCTCTTTTATAAGGGCACAAATCTCATTCACCTGTGCTCTGTCCTCATGACCTAATCATCTCCCAAAGATCCTACCTCCAAATACTATGACATTGGGATTAAGTTTCAACATATGAATTCTGGGAGGCACAAACATTCAGACCATAGCAGTAGTCTCGGTTTGCAGGGTGGTTTGCTGCATCTGGGTCATACGGTAAGTCTAAGACATTAAACATCTTTCCTGATGGTGACAGAAAATTGTTGAAAAATTCTAAGTAGACAAATGATATTAGATTTGGGTTGTAGCTCAGTAGTCAGAGAGGTATGAAGACATCTGAAAGTTGAATGAAATTTGTTGATGTTTAAACTACAAGTAATGGAAGTCCTGTGTCCTTCCCCACGTCTCTGGGGATTTGGTGAAGAAGTAGAGACGAGAAGGAGTTGTTGGATTTCCTAGTCCTTTCTGGCTCAAAGTTTCTTCTACTATAAAACTGCAGTTCTTGGATCCCCATATTAATATCCTATATATCCTTAACATATCTGTGAAACAAGATGTTTAATTTAGTTCTTTTCCTTCTCTTTCAGGAAACAACCACATCAAATGTATCCCTTTTTTTTTTTTTTTTTTTTTTTTTTTTAAGACAGAGTTTCGCTCTTGTTATGCAGGCTGGAGTGCAATGGCGCAATCTCGGCTCACCGCAACCTCTGCCTCCTGGGTTCAGGCAATTCTCCTGCCTCAGCCTCCCGAGTAGCTGGGATTACAGGCAGGCGCCACCATGCCCAGCTAATTTTTTTTATTTTTAGTAGACACGGGGTTTCACTATGTTGACCAGGAGGGTCTCGATCTCTTGACCTCATGATCCAACCCCCTCGGCCTCCCAAAGGTCTGGGATTACAGGCTTGAGCCACCACGCCCGGCCAAATTTATCCTATTTGACCATGCAGAATACTTGTTGGAAGAGAAAAGAATGCTTTTTATCTCTTACCAAACTAAAGTCCATCTGATGCAAGTGAAGGTAAGGAATGAATTGGAGAAGATAAAGATAACAGGCAAGCAGACCAGGTAGGAGGCTGCTATCAAAGAGCAAAATACTGAGGGCTTGGAGTAAGGCAGAGGCAGTGGCAGTAGAAATGTTAAGGAAAGAACATATTTGGGGTATATATTTTTGAGATTGAGTACATGAGACTGGATCTAGTGACTGAATACACTTGGAGCAATGATAGAGAGGAATGTGATATGGAGAGGTGTGGAAGGAATTGCTAAGAAGAGATACAGGGTTTTGTTTGTAATTTGGAATTTTGTTTGGGATAATTGAACAGTTAGGGGTGGCACTCACTGTTGTTTGAGATACAGAAAATGCATATTTAGAGAGAAAATAAGTTCAGTTTTGGGAAGGCTGGGTTTGAAGCACTAAATGGAGATGTTACTGAAGTACTTAGATTTGTGTATACAGAATTTAGAAGGCTCTGGCTTGAGAAGAAGATAGCTTTGGTATTTAGGGGCTATGCTCTCATGTAAGTCCAGGAAACCCAGCTACCCAGAAAACCCAAAGAGGAGTGTATTTTTCTTACATAAGAAGAAGCCCAGAGTTAGGCAGTCCAGGATTAGTGTGGTAGTTTAAAGATTTTACCAGTGTTTTAGGCTCTTTTTTAACTTTCTGCTTTATCAGCTTTAATGTCTTTTGTTAGCTTTTCTAGAAGCAGAGTACAAGATGGTTATGTGAATGAATTTAGGTTATGAAATTCATTAAGAGAGCGTCCTTCAGGAAAAATATATAAGGGAAAGTGTAAGGCAGGAGAGAAAGTGTGAGAGAGCAGGCAGTCTCTGATCAACTAACTAAATATTTAAAAGTGGGCCATGCATGAACCAGTGAGTGTGCCATGAATCAAGGATTATAAGCAATCCAATTCTGTGGACAGGAAAAAGCAAAAGACTAGATTAAGAGATGAATAAGCCCAAGGAATATAAGGATCTTCTTTCAAGCAACTAGACTTTGAAAGGAATAAATGAAGTAGATGGAGAAGGGGAGGTGGGTTAAAGAGGCTTTTAACTAGTAGAGCTCTTTAAGGAAATATGCTAAAAGGAAAGAGGCAGTGGAGAGAAAGATGGAAAATTTTAAATTGAGAGGAATTAATTCGTTAGTGATATCATAGAGTTGGGAGGGAATCCAGAGTACAGATGAAAAGATTAACTTTGCACATAGGGACGGACATCTTTTTACTGCTCCAAGAGGAAAAGACATAAAAATAAATGGGTTTACACTTAAATTTATGGTGGTGGCAAATGAGGAGCTGAGAAATTCCTACTTCATTGCATTTAAATTTAGTTTTCTAGTTAAAACACAGAAAAGGTCATCTGTTGAGTATGTGTGTGTGGAGTAGGAGGTATCAGTGATGGTGGGATGAGGAAGAGCTATAGAAGGCTTAAGAGTGGTGAAAATTTAAAATAGCTGCTGAAAGATGAGAGAAACCTGATCGGAGCTGCCAAGAAACACTGCCTATCAGTATTTGAGTCCCAGCTGAAGCTGAAGATCATAAAGTTGTAGAAGTCAACCCTGGTTGAATGGCTTTCTCCAGCTATGCTTTATAGTTGGGATGACATCTGGTAGATGAGTAGGGGTATAAAATCAAGAGAAATTACACACATTGATTCATATTCTAGTTTATGTCACTAAATACCTTTCAGTTGTATACCACAAAGGATATAAATATATAAATGAATTTCTGTACCCTTATTTATGCAGTTAAAGAGTACATGATGATTTGGTTTGGGTGGGTTTAGGAATCAGCCAATAGAGGGATGTCTTAACATTTCCTTTGGTTATTGGTGTTGAAATTATTATTAATTATGGTTATTTGGTATTGAAGTTATTATAAATTTTGGCTTAGGGACTAAATGGAGTCACAGAGAAGGATGAATCTTTAAAAGTAAGTTCATGAAACAACAATAACAACAACAACAACAACAACAACGAAGCCCTGCATTCTTCAAGTTCATTTTGGATATGCTTGTGTGTCCTTGATATTCCTATGGCCAGGGCTTTCTAATTCACTCAGAATTTTGTGACTAGATAAATTTCTTTAAAACACATCACTGTCCAGAAACCTTTAATGGCTTTTCATTGCCTGTAGTGTGAGATCAAAATATCTTAGCCTGATGATTTCAAGTTTCTCCATAATTTGGCCTCAATCTGCTTTTCTTTGTTTTCCCACTGCTTCCTATATTCAAAAAGTATAGCTTAGTGGTTAGAAGCACAGTCTGCATTTGTATTTGAACCCAGCTTTTCAAATTACCAGCTGTGTGATCTTAAGGAATTTAACTCTCATAGTTCTAATTTTCTCATTAGTAACATAGAGAAAATAATACATGCCTGCTATGATGATGAAGATTAAATGAAATAATATATTGTGCTTAGTACAATGCCTGGAGTAGAGTATATGTATAATATTTTTAGAAATTTTAATTATCTTGCATTAGTCTATTTTCACATTGCTATAATGATGCTACCTGAGACCAGGTAATTTATAAAGAGATTCAATTGACTCGGTTCTGCATGGCTGGAGAGGCCTTGGGGAACTTACAATCATAACAGAAGGTGAAGCAAGGCATGTCTTACATGGCTGCAGGAGAAAAAGAGTGAGGAAATGCTACACTTCAAAACCATTAACTCTTGTGAGAATTCCTTCATGATCACAAGAACAGCATGAGGGAAACTTATCCCATGATCCAACCACCTCCCACCAGGTTCCTCCCTCAAGATGAGATTTGGATGGAAACACAGAGCCAAACTGTATCATAACTCAACTTACATAGTGTTTGCACATTGTTTCACATACTGTGTAAACTCATTTAATTATTATAACAACCCTCTGAAATAGGTAATATTATCCAGCTTTACAGATGAGAAAACTGAGAAATAGTAAAGTTAATTAGTTTATCATCTTAAAGGCTAACAAAGGCCAGAATCATGTTTCAAACCCAGGGAGTCTGTCTTCAGAGGCAATGCTTTTAATTACTAAGCTGTTTCCTTTCAATAAACAGCAACTATTATTATTATTATTATTCTACTTACTGTCCCTTAAACATGTCCTGTATATTTATTTCTACCTCTTTGCTACTATTCCTATCATCCACTATGCCACTAAAGCACTAAAGACCTTCTCCCTTTCTACCTACATTTTCTTTCTTGTTTTTTTCTTTTCCTTTCTTTCTTTTTCTCTTTCTTCTTTCTCTTTCTCTCTTTTTTTCATTCTCTTTCTTCTCTTTTCTTTTCTCTTCTCTTTGCTTTTGTTTTGTTTTCTTTTCTTTTTTGACATAGTCTTGCTCTGTTGCCCAGGCTGGAGGAATGCAATGGTGCAATCTTGGCTCACTGCAACCTCTGCATCCTGGGTTCAAGTGATTCTCCTGCCTCAGCCTCCTGAGTAGCTGGGATTATAGGTGTATACCACCACACCTGGCTAATTATTTTTGTGTTTTCACAAGACACTGGGTTTCACCATGTTGGCTAGGTTGGTCTCGAACTCCTGACCTCAGGTGATCCACCTGCCTCGGCCTCCCAAAGTACTGAGATTACAGGCATGAGCCACCACCCCTGGCCACCATCCTCTTAATTTCTAAATGCCATCTTAATGTCTGATCCTTTCATGAAACTTGCTGTGATTCCTCAGTTACCAGTGATCCTTTTCCTCTCTGAATTCTTGACACTTACTGTCTAACCAATTTAATTCACACATTTTGATAGTATCTATATTGCTTTAGATAGTTATTAATATTTAATCTGTCTTTATTTTAACTAAATGATATATTTGAAGGTGGGAACGATATGTTATCTTCTTTGCATCATTAGCACTGTTTAATGGACAGTTCTTCCAAATTTATCACGAGACAGCCCAGATTCAAATCCTAGCCCTGATGGTTAATAAACCCAGTGACTTAAGACTAATTACTTAACCTCTTTGAAACTTAAAGACTTTATCTGTGAAATGATGTTAGAAACCTGTCTTAGAGAGTTATTATGGGAATTAGATTAAAAGAAAAGTCTATTTGAAAAAGTTATGAGGTTCCATGCAAAAGTTAGACATTTTATGCATAACATCCTCTTTGTAAATATACGTTAAGAAAATGAGGGCCGGGCGCGGTGGCTCAAGCCTGTAATCCCAGCACTTTGGGAGGCCAAGGCGGGTGGATCACAAGGTCAAGAGATCGAGACCATCCTGGTCAACATGGTGAAACCCCATCTCTACTAAAAATACAAAAAATTAGCTGGGCATGGTGGTGCGTGCCTGTAATCCCAGCTACTCCGGAGGCTGAGGCGGGAGAATTGCCTGAACCCAGGAGTGGAGGTTGCGGTGAGCCGAGATTGCGCCATTGTACTTCAGCCTGGGTAACAAGAGCGAAACTCCGTCTCAAAAAAAAAAAAAAGAAAAGAAAAGAAAATGAATAAATGAATTAGTGGATACTTTTGAAGGAAGAAAATAAGTGAAATGAGTTCTACCACTTTTAATCTGTATTATATTGAGCTAATCCAAACTTAAACACCTTGAGCATCACTTTGCACCTGTAAAGCAGAGATAAATTAAGTAAATAGGACACTCTGAAGGAATACAGGCCTTTACAGCGTTCAGCTTTGAACTGAAGCATGAGGATCTCCAGGATAGAGAAGAAACGGAGCCAGGAGATATATATATATATATCTCCTGGCTCTTTGTGTGTGTGTGTGTGTGTGAGGAAATGCTACACTTCACACACACACACACAAAGAAATTTGGTAGGTTATAAAGTACAAACTCTTCAACTTACCTTTTTGCTTAAGCTAAGCCCTTTCTTGGCCTTTAGTGTATGAAGATGGGCTAAAATTCCATGGATTCATATTTTTCACAAATACCTCAGTGACTAGCAAATCTGAAGTTCTTGGCTCCAGGGTAAAGAATTTCAGCCAATTTTTTTCTCTTGAAAGTTCAGCTTGAACTTAAATTCCCTACCCACAACAAAAGTCTATCCAAGATTTCTCATGAC